CCATACATAGCGTCACTATATGGCCTATTTACCAATTTAATACCCAATCTAAAACGAAGTTCAGAGGTTGAGAGGACAGCGGCAACCAGCGGACCCCGGAGGCTAACCATAGCCAGGGCTGCAGCAGCCCTCTCTCTGCATAGCCGTGTGTGAAGTACTGGTGGTTCTGTTGGTGATTTTTTTGTTTTATTTAGCAAAATATTAGTTTAATTTGTGTTTATTTGACTGTGTTAATTATATACTAAATGAAAAAAGTAAGAATTTATTATAGAGACTATTAGTAACAAGAGATAAAATACAGATCCAGATGAGTCGAGCATGTGGTGACGTCACAAGTACGCTTCTGTCCAACTGACCCATATTTATGCTTCGTGCTCTCGTTCTCCCCAAGCCAATACTTTGGTGTTCTTCTCAAGAACATACTTGACAAGGACACAAGTCCATACTCCTATGTAACAAACAACTGAAAGTTGCTTCACTGTCCCTTTAGACAGTCGTTTCATTTTACATTAGCTTCTGCCAATAGTGTTAGCTCTTGCTAACATGCTAAACAATAGTCCACAAGTTGATCACATTTGTTTGGTTCAGCAGATATCTCATGTATAGATATTTTGAGCCAGGGATGCAGAGTAGCATCGTCTAAATTTACAACGGCAAAACAATAAAAAAAGAAACAACCCTGATAATGTGCCTTCCTGTGTTTAAAATGTAAGTCCAGAAAATGAGAATCCAGTAGGCCCTAATCTTGTCATCTTAGACTGAGACAACTTTATCGTCATTTTGTTTACACAGAGTGTATACAAAATGAAATTTTGTATAGAAAAGCTTTCAGACTCTAAATGAACATTTCCATTCCATAAGATGCAGCAGTGATCAAATGTAAGCAGTGTGGGAGAATCTACCCGGCATGCCGGCAACCTCCATGGGTGAAAAATATAACAAAACATTACAATAAATGACGACATATTTAGACAAACATTTTCAAGGTGTCGTGGATCCCTTTAATTGTCCTTCCACAGGATGGACGGATGAAGGAATGGGTGGAATATGTAGATCAGGGCTGCCCAACCAGTCGATCGTGGGCCGAGTTTCAGTCGATCGCGAAAGTTTTACAATGTAGACCTATTTATGTCTATGACAAAAAAAATATATTAAAAAACACTAATCGACACATTGATCACAAGAGGCCAAAGTTTATTTTCATAATAATAAAATCAAAAATAAAAAGTATGCAGGGAACCTTTCTTTATGCGTGCTGATTGATTGATAGGATTGGTAGAAAAACAATTACAAATTTTCTGTACTTATACTATAGTTTTCCTTATTCATCCATCCCTCTAAAATACCTATACCTCACCAGAATGAGCGGGAACAATGTTCTTGATTTAGATAACATGTCAGGAAAGGAGAATGATTAGAAAAGACACCTATGTTAGAAAAGCAGGATGTTTTGATTATCAGTGGTGGTGTCTGTATCTTGTGTTGGTCCTTCCCTTAGCAAACACCTACACATACACCTCCACAAACATCCAGATTAATCACTGCCCACTACCACATCCAGTGTGCTCCATGCACCGACCTCCATCTATCTGACAACAGATCAGGACTGGGATACACATGTAATCTCCCATATCTCCTTCAGCCATCGCCACAAAATAAGAGCTGCTCTCCTATGAAGTCTCCACAGCTGAAGCAGTGATGGCAGAGAAATGAAGAATATACTGTAGGTCCCATGAACCGAACAGAGGCAGGAAAAATGTCAAACAAAACAAACAAGGCTGTGTAGGAAGGTTTCTGCAGTGGTGCAGCGCTGTGCACCTTTGAATAAGCAGCTGAGGGGGGAAAAAAAGAGAAAAATATGCTCTAAAGGTTAATGTGGATTTTGCTGTGGTTATTAAGCCCATGTACTATAGTTGTCGTTATGCATGTTAAGCTAATAAACATCTAACTAAACAGATTTGTTTCTGTCTGCAGGCAAGAAACTGTATGGCTGCTGTCTAATACAAAAGCTGCGTATGACATTTGTGTCATGATCTGGCCTGTTTGCTCTCCCTTAATTAGTAATTCCTTTCACCTGCCCTCTTCCCTCCCTGCCTCATTATAATTAATTCCTCTCACCTGTTTCCTCTGGTTTATATTCAGTTCAGCCTGAGCATTCAGTGCCAGATCATTGCTTGTCTTTCTGTCAGTCTTTCTGTTCAGTTTTTATTTGGTTCATGTCCTGGATCCTGGCAGCCAGTGGAAAGAGGGTTTTAGTGTTTGTCTCGTCTCCTGATCGTCCACTGTTCCTCCCCTGCGGAGTCCTCTGGGTTTTTGGCTCATTATGGGGGGGGGGGTTCAGTTTTTATCTAAGTAAGCCTGGCTCCTGGGTGGAGACCAGTTTAAAGTCTGCTTCAAGTTCCGGTTCCACGTCCTGTCTCGGCTACCCTCTTCCACTGAGCCTGCCTGTCTGCACCTGATCCTGTCTGCTCCTGTTCGTGACCACCTGGTCATGCTTCTGGTCCCAGTCAGACTCTGAACCCTCCTGGAAGCCTGTGGTTGCATGGAAGTCTGGATCCTGCCACCTCTGTCTGTTCCTGTCTGTTCTGGATCCCTGACCAGGATCAGCTTCCACCATCACCTCTGGGACTGCAGCACTGGGACACCTGTGGTCTGGACTGTTAAACCAGGTAAGTGACCAACACAGTTAATCTTCTATTGGTTGATCGTGGTCACTTACCTGTGTTTCCTCCCTAGAGTGTCTGAGATTGGGCGGTGCCCCGCCCCCCCCTGCCTGCAGTGTCCTCGAGCCACAGCTCCGCTTTTGTTTTGTTTTTATTTTAATAAACCTTTTGAACTTTCCTACTGACTGTCTCTCCTGAATACTGGGTCCATCTGTCCTCGGTTCATGACAATTTGGGCCTGAAAAGATAACTGCCTTCACCGTTATCCAAACTCAGGCGGGTGCTGTTTCCATTTTGTCTGACATAAATGTAATGACACTCAACGAGAGCATGTCAGCTTGGCCAATACCCATAAAAACTGTGCCAGTAGACCAAATTGTATTTATTATCCTTAGCGCCCATCTGCTATCCCCCAATATAAGGAGTGATTATAGGGAGAAAATGTGCTTAAATTTTAAAAGCATGACAATTAGAAGTGATGTTGTTTAAAGGAGACCTCTTTGCTGTTTTAATGCAGGTCATTATGAATAAAAAAGATGTGGTTTTGACCTTGGGCTGACGTTAATGCTCCTGATGTTTGAATATCACAGAAGTGTTTCTGAGGAGGAGTTAAACCTCTTGATCTGTAATTTTTCAAATAGAATGGAAAAAAACAACAAAAAATATTTTTTTTAACAGGAATACTGTTTATTTTTGTGTGATCTTAAATATTTTGAGATATAAACTCCCTTGCTGAAAAAATAAAAATAATTTAGCATCTCAAAAGCAAGGGTATGAATTAATTGGGGTGTTTCTGTATCTCCTCACAAAACTTTCAGAGCAGCTTCCGTAGCTTCGCCTCACGTCACTTACAAATAACAGAAAAGCTCACATTTTCCTGCACTGCTGAATGTGCAACAGGCCCAAGCTTTAAAAGTCAGCTGCAGATAATGCTAAATCTGAACAGCATTAAGATAAAATGAACAGAAATCTTAACTTCCCTAGCATGATGGACAGCATTTCTGGAAACCCATAGAGTTGAGAACATTCTCCCATCATTGATGCAGCTCACAATGGAAAACAACACAGTTTTGTTTAGTTTAGTTGAAGTTGATTTTAGTCTTCTAAGAAGCCATCTATTTAGAATACAGGCAAAGTAAGTTGTAGCAACAAAATGTTAAAAACAAACCTAATGATGTTGACTGATCAATCCAGCCTTTAAAATGGACGATTTCAGGGGTTCCTGCTGATTCCGCAGCTTTGTCATCCTGTACTTCTGAGGCTCTTGGTCACTTTACAACAGGCTTGTTTTTGAGTCATACAAATCAGCTACGTACCAAAAATCAAGAGGTTATCGAACAGACAAACAATGACAAGTTTACGGTGGTCAGCATATGAGTGAACTTTAAAACCTAAAAAAAAACAAAAGCAAAAAAACAATCGAGGACTTTGTTTATCAAATCTTTCTGGGCCTTGAACATTTTTTATTGCAGTATTTCAAGGATCCATGTTAACCCTTGACATTTCCTCAAATGAGTGAAGAAACATGTCAGATTTAGCAATCATTACAACTTAAAATATGAATATAATATTATATAGGATATTTATAACGTTTAGAGCGACTGTTACTTCTGTTTTCTTCTTTATATCGTGTTTTAGAGTAGAATTTCTTATCATTTATGAGCTAATTTTTTCTTTTTTCATATCCATTATCTTGTTTCTAGCTCTGAGTGATTTATTTTGGTTATGTTTAATGAAACCTCTGTTGCTCTACCAGTGATTTCACTATCCATGAAGAATATTGCTCCTAATGTCTTTCTTCATCCTCATTAAACAAGTTGCTGACAAAGTAGAGAAACTGGTCTCTTCCAGGAAAGGAAATCTATTAACAAATTAGAAATAACTTAATATTGAAGGCAGAAGTGAGTAGTCATACAATGGAGGGTTGATTTTTTTTATTGTTTTTAGAACCCCACTTGCTTTTGTCTGACAACCGGCCCAGACGCCTGAAAAATTCTGGCTGTGGCTCGGAAACCAGTTGGCCCATAACTCTGCAGGAAAGGCTGAACATGTCAGCCTCATGTGTAAAAAGGTGTTAAAAAATATGAGTAAAAGGTTTGGAAGACTGAATCTGTCGCAGCTAAAAAGCTGCTTAGTTATGTGTGGGTTATCACCAACATATGATCATCAGCCATCCCACTGGGGACACAATACCACAGAGATGACTGAAAAAAATAACAAATAAAAACCTTTCCTCATCCAAAGTTTCCTACACCATTGATCACCTGACCTTCCTCCAGACACTTTATCTGCTCCTTCCTCATCAAATCTCTTCCTCTTTCCTGGGAAAGGACCTACCTTTGGAAGGCTCTGTGCGTTTAGGCAGATCCAATGTGTCGTAGTTTTTGTCATTTTCCCCATTCTTCCTGCCTGCATGAATAAATAAGGAGAGAAGAGGATGTTAGCAGCCTAACCGTGGATTTCTAAATACGCTAACAGACACACAAGTTTTAGAGGCTGGTATCAGTATTATTGAACCATGTGGAGCTGACATGTATTTTGCTAGGATGAATGGACCTTTCAAACACATGAACACATAAACACATGAGAATGAATCGGTAAAGGTCCGAACTAACACCGGGCCAACACTGATGATGACTCACATCCACCTAAATGTTTACATTTATACATGAAGTAGGAAGAGAGGAATGAACTGGATTCTCATGGGGGACAATCCATGACTGTCGAGTTCAGGCTGTAAACATCCAAAATAAACCTAAAGTATGATAACAATCAAGCTATATTATAATCTAATGCTTTTATGTTTTCCTTGTAAACATCGAGAGATCTAGATGGCTTTAGCCATCCCACCTTCTTCTTGAAAACAGAAATCATTTCAGAAAAAAACAAAAAAAAGATGAGATGAGACCTCCTTTTGGGAAATGGTGGACTTAGCAAGGATATATACACTCACCGGCCACTTTATTAGGTACACCTGTCCAACTGCTCGTTAACACTTAATTTCTAAGCAGCCAATCACATGGCGGCAACTCAGTGCATTTAGGCATGTAGACATGGTCAAGACAATCTCCTGCAGTTCAAACCGAGCATCAGTATGAGGAAGAAAGGTGATTTGAGTGACTTTGAACGTGGCATGATTGTTGTTGCCAGAAGGGCTGGTCTCAGGATTTCAGAAACTGCTGATCTACTGGGATTTTCACGCACAACCATCTCTAGGGTTTACAGAGAATGGTCCGAAAAAGAAAAAACATCCAGTGAGCAGCAGTTCTGTGGGCGGAAATGCCTTGTTGATGCCAGAGGTCAGAGGAAAATGGCCAGACTGGTTTGAGCTGATGGAAGGGCAACAGTGACTCTAATAACCACCCGTTACAACCAAGGTGGGCAGAAGGGCATCTCTGAACGCACAGCACGTCGAACTTTGAGGCAGATGGGCTACAGCAGCAGAAGACCACACCGGGTGCCACTCCTTTCAGCTAAGAACAGGAAACTGAGGCTACAATTTGCACAAGCTCATCGAAATTGGACAATAGAAGATTGGAAAAACGTTGCCTGGTCTGATGAGTCTCGATTTCTGCTGCGACATTCGGATGGTAACCTTAGGACGAACACTAAAATGTTCTGCAGACCTTTTCAGGGTTTTCAGGAGAAAGACTATTTCATACTGAACTCACAATGAAGCCGTGGGGGGCAGGAAGAGAAGGAAAGGAGGATGGATGGAGATAAGGTGGAGGAATGAGGAGCTGAAAGAGTGAGGGGAGGGCACTCACCTTGATTAAACCATTCCTCTATAGTTATCCAAGGAAGCAGCAGCAATGCCAAAAAAACACAAAGCAGGGAGAAGAGAGAAACAGGCAGGTGATTAAAAAGATGTGTGTGTGAGTGTAGGAGGTGTGGTGCGACACAAAAATAAGTCTTAATTTCCTGACGTTAAATAAGTGAAGGCTGTAATAAAGCAGGAAAGAAACGGTCCAGAAGTGTGAGGGGTGGGGTCGCAGCAGCAACAGTGAGAATGTTTCTTTATCAAGCAGAGTGGATGGAAAACAGGAAGGAAATCATTTCCCACCTTCAGACCGTGAGGAAGGACAGAACCTCAAGGGTGAAAATAAACAAAAGTGTCATCGAGTGTTAGATTTTAAATGACAGGAAGAGCAGCAATAGGAGTGAATAAATAATCTGTTTAGCTAAAACAGCATGAACTGCTGGATGTGATCTTCACAGATCTGGGTTTTAATCTGGATGGGACACTGGGTCCAGATTTACCCCTGCAAAACTGATCAAAAATAAGACAAATGTTCTTCTTTAAGGGCCGGATCTATCAAAGGTTTGCATGTATAAAAACGTGAGCTATTTCACTGCGCACGCTAAAAAATGTACAAACTGATCTATCAACAGCGTGCTAAAAGGATTTGGTCTTTAAAACGCGCTACAGTCCCCCGGTCTGGCCCGGGGGACTGTTGCCCCCGTCGGGGCGGGGTCTGGGGCGCCGCGGGGGGGTCCTGCGGCGGCCGCGTGCGGTGCTCTTGGGGGGTTCCGTGGTGGCGGACGTGGGCTACTGGCCTGGTGGCTGTGCTGCTGCTGGGTGGGGCTGGGCGCCGGGCATCGGTTCTTTTGTGGTGCTGGCCGGGGTGCTTCTGCTCTGCGGGGCGTCGGGGCGTGCCTCGTCTTCCGGTGCCGGGTTTCGGTGGTTGGCCGTGGTGCTTGCCGTGGTTGCGTCGTCCGGGGGGGGCGTGGGTGGTCGCGCCTGTGGCCGGGGTTCGTGTGTGTCTGTTGTGGGCGGGTTGCGGGCGTCGGGGGTCCCTTTGGAGTGCCCCCGGGTCGGGGTGTGGCTTCGCTCTGTTGGGGCGGGTGCCGGTGACGCGTGGTGCGGTGCATCGTGCGCGGCTTGGGAGTGGAGGGTTGCTCGGTGTTTGGCGGCGGGGGGGGGGACGGGCCGTGGCCGGCGTGGCCGTCCTCCTCTCGGCGGCCTGTGGGCGGTGCGGGGCCGGAGCGGGGTGGGTCGTGCTGCTTTCGCGCCGGGCGCGGCGGGGGGGGGGGGGGTCGCGTCTGCTGCTTTCTTTTTGCTGCTTGTGCCGGCTTCTGGCGGCTGGGGCGGCCTTGCTGCTCTGGCTCTCTGGCGTGCGCCGGGTGGGGCTGCTCTGTCCTTTGCTTTGCCTTGCGGCTGTGTTTGCTGTGGTCGGTGGGGGCGGGGTGGTTTCGTTGTGTTTTTGGGTGGGGGAGTCCGCCTGGGGGCTTGGTTGGTGCCGTCGGTTCGTCCTTGTCGGCCTTCCGGTGTTGTTTCTGTTGGGGCTGCTCGGGCCCCCGCATGCCGGCGGTGCGCTGCCGGGGGGATTCCTGTTCGGCGGGCTTGCCTGTCTCCTGGGAGGGCAGGCATGTTGACTTTTCTGGGGAGGAGCATCTGGGTGGAGGGGTCCTCGTGGTGTGGCGGTGGTTGTTGGGCACTGGCTTGTTTGCGGCCGTTCTTCTCCGGTGAGGGGGAGAATATTATAATTTTTTTGTTTTTGTTTTTGTTTGTTTTTTGTGTGGGAGGGGGTGTGTGGGCGGGGGGATCGGGGCTTGGAGTGGGGCTCGGGATTTGCGCTTAGCTGTGTTGTGTGGCTTTCTTCTTCTTCGGATTGGTGCTGTGGGACCGGTGTTGGGGGGAGTCGTTCGGGGGCCGGGGTCGGGGTGGGGGTGCTGGCGCCGGTGCCGGGGGTTTTTGGGCATTGCCCGGCCCTACTGCGGGGTGGGTCTGGGGTGGCTCCTTGGGCCTGGGATCCCTGGGGCGCATTGCCCTTGGGCGGGGTCCCCGGTGGGGGTTCGGGGGTTCGGGTTCTGTGGGGAGTGCTGCTTGGGTTCTGGGCCGGTGTACGCCTGGCTGTCTGTCCCTGCTGCCACGGCCTCTGGTGTGCCGGGGTGCCTCGGGGCCTGCTGGGCTGGGGGGGGGCATGGACATTAACACCTATGGCAAGTGCTTACCCCCTCACGGGTTTGCACTCTGTAAGTGGGGGAAGGGGAGGGAGGGGGAGTAGGTATGATCTCGGCCTGGATGTCTTCTGTCGCTTGTGTGGTGAGTAGCTTGATTGTTATTGTAGGGGAGGGATTACATCTCCGGAGGGGGGGTGGGGGGTGGTGATAGAGGGAAGGAGATCTTTGAAGGGCTTTGGGTCTGGCTCCCTGTCTTGGTCCTGGTCCGTGCTGCCCCCTGGTGGGGCTTCGTCCGGGGTGGGGGCTCTGCGTGTTGCGCGTTGGCTGGCCGGCTGGGATTGTCCCTTCCCTTATTCATTTATTTATTTATTATTATTATTTTTTTTCTTATCTTCCTTTTATATTTTTTTATTTATTTATTTATTTATTTATTATTTTTTTTTTTTATTATTATTTTTTTTTATTTAATTTATTTATTTATTTATTTTTTTTTAATTTTATTTATTTATCTACTTATTTATTTATTTTTTTTTTTTATTATTATTATTTTTTTGGATGGACAGGACGGGGGGGGGTGGTGGAGTCGGCTCCGTGACCGGCTGGCTGGTGGGTCCTGCTGCCGGTCCCGTGCCCCCGGGCTATGGTGGTGAAACTGGTGGGGCCCCCTTCTCTGGGGGGGCTCTCGGGGAACGGGGGTGCCTATTGGAGTCAGCGGGGGAGCTGGCTCCCTGGGAGTGCAGCAGGCACCCCAGTCCTTTGCTCCCCATCCCCGAAATCCTCCCTCTGCCTGCTCCATCACTCGGCCACACATGTAGGTTTTTGGGGAGGGGGTCGTTACTGGAGGGCCACACCTTCTGATGACGTCCCCCACCCCAATTTTATTTTGCATTTTAGACACTTCCATCTACATCATTTTCACAACACACATCTATGTAGGGCATTTTCGGGGGGGTGGGGGTCAGGGCCACCGGGGGGGGGGCTTATTTTATGGGCCTCACCACGGTCGGCCTCCTCCATCCCCTCTCGCATCTAGACATTGAGGGTTGAGGGTTGTCGAAGGGGGAGGGTGTGCTGGCACCGTCTATCTCCAGGAGGGGGGGTGGAGTGTGCCGGACACCCCCTCTTGGTACTCCCAGTTTTAATTGCATCTGAGAGCAACACGCAACAACACCACATTCGAGCGGGCGCAGTGAGGATCGGGGTCTTCTCACACCCCTGTTCTCCGGCTGCCGCCTGGAGTCTGGGGCCTGGAGGAAGAGCGGGCCACCTGGTCCGTGGTTTTGGCTGGGGCTGGCTGCGGGGCCTAGGTGGCCTGCTGGTGGCGGGGCTGTCACCTCTGCTCTCCCCAAAGAAGGTTGGATGGAGGGGCATGAAGTGCCTGGTTGAAGGTTTTTTTTTTTTTTTTTTTTTTTTTTTTTTTTTTTTTTGTTCTT